GTGATCGTCAACATTATATACATATATGTATATATAAAACAATTGTTACACACTAGAGCGAGAGCGCGTAATACAAAACAATGATTCTTCGATTAGTTTATTACAATACATCACTTTACGTCACTAATAAAAATATAACTCTCATTACCGCTCAGTACATGTGATCGTCCGTCTTCGATATAGTATATAAGTAAAATATCTCTTGCAGTCGCTTACGTATCTACGGAGTGTCCGCCAAATCGTACGTCTCAAGTAGAGACTGCTTTTAGAGTTCATCTTTGCGCAAGCGATTCAGTACATCTTTGTCTTTTCTTCCTGCCAAACTCTAAAATGTCCGCTTTGTCGATAGAACCAGCAATGATAATAAGAGACTCGATCGAGTTACAGCTATGCGCTGTTAGATCATCCTTCGTCACGGCTGACTAGTTTCTATTATATTACATCCAATTTTAATGTGGCGCAGTGCATTGTCCAAACATTGGTTAAACGTTGGCCCAATATTTGATTGTATTGAGCCAATGTTTAGCCAATGCACTGTGCGACTAAGGGATTCTTAAAAAACCTTACTAGTAACTTTACACATCTACCTGTAACCAATTTATAGACTTAACCGTAAGTGATTGATTCGATTACAAGCTATAGTTATTTAAAACCACTTAGTACTATAGTTAATAAAATAATTAATCTCGATTATCAGTAAGCAATCTTTGTTAGTTGCATCTGTTGTCACTTTAGAAAAGAAAGTCCTTAACGCGTCGTCGGCGCGTACGATTTCATTGATCTCGCTTCGACGTCCCCCATCTTTGTTTTCGGGCAATTCTCGTCGTCGAGCATAACAACAGGTTTTGTCATTTTGGAATCCGAACTTTGGAAGGTTTTTCTGCCAACGGTGTGAAATCTCCCGAAAGGCGCAACGACTGAATCAAAATGGAAATTCTTCCGACGCAGGATTCCGCGGACACCTCGCAGGAATGCATATGTACATATTGTGTATATACACACGCGCACACGTACATAACATAAATGTATATATGCATTCGCGTATATATCTCCAAGTTTGCAACTTGTATACATATTTTTTTCATTTAATATTTATATATGTAGACATCTGTATAATATAGAACTATATTCTCATGCCATATTACAACAATACAAACAGTCAATATTAATGATAATGTTAACTTGCGTAATGCAAGCACCACAGCTAGTATAGCAGTTTGAGCAATACGTAATGCGTCCTTGTATCAGGATCGGGAGATTAACACGACGAATCATCGAGAAACATACGATGGCAACAAATTAATCTCCGTCACCCTCGTCGCGCTTGATTCCGTTCTACAGGGTGTCCCGAGAGCGATGAAAGTCAGTAACAAGATATTATCTTATGTCTTTAATTTTAATCTGTCATTTACATGTAATATAACTCAAAACTTAAACATAATAATCTTTATTACGATACAATATTTTTGAAACTACAAGGAGATCAGAAGATAAGATAAAGTGTAAAAATCAAAATAGTACATGCAATAATGGTGAGGCACTTATAATACTGTTGCTATAAAACCAAACGCATGTCCAATTGCACACGCACACGTACGCATACGCAGCACGCGGTATATACGCCTAACACAAATCGCCTGTGATTTCGTTTAAATAAAGTACGTACATGGCATCAGAACAAAATGCATAAGTAATACATAGATGCTAATTTAATGAATCTAAAAAGCTGGCGAAAAGATGAAACGAGCAGCCGCGGTATGAAAATAAAGTAGAGAAAGACTTTAGACAGAAGAAAGAAATTGATTATAATACTTGACTATAATATAGGACATTATAGGAAAAAAGCAGTGCGGAACTTAGCAGTGTGATATTATGGAAAGATACATTCGAGGTAGGTGTCAAGCGTATTAGAGGAGTAGAACTCCGAATTCGAATGAAAAGATGCAAAAGGTAAAAAGTATTGGGACGGAAAAGAGAGAAAATAAGACAGTACAAGCGGAGTACAAGACATAGTTGTACTTTAAACTATCCGGAGCCTAGATACAAACAAGATATGTATATGCAAAGTTGAGAAAGTTACTTTATAAAAGTATCTAGTTAGAGTTACAGTTTTTTCCTTAAAAATGTAATTAGTTGCCAATTCTGAAAAGTAACGCGTTACAGTTACTGTTATTCAAAAAGTAACGAATCGTTACATAGCAGTTACTTTCTCGCAACGAAAATAAAAATGTCAAATCTGCCTTTGAATTGTAAAGCATCGATAAAGGCGTTTATGCGCAGATGGAAGGCCTAATACAATCTGTGGAGGTTTAAAAAATATATAAAGTAACTATTAATGTAACTATTAAATTAGTTACTGGTTATCGAAAAAATGTGACTAAGTTAAATTACAGTTACAGACGGAGAGAAAGTAACGAAGTTAAGTTAGAGTTACCAAAAAGAAGTAACTGTAACTGTAACATCGTTACAAGTAACGTTACAAGTTACTTCCCAACGCTGTGTATACAATATCGTATTTACACTGAAAAAAATTTCTGGTTGAATATGGACGAATCAGATAATTCCTTTAGGATTTACCAGAATTCCTTTAGGATTTACCAGAATTTCTGTAGGATTACAGGATGTAATCTGGGATGAAAATAAAGTAGAGAAAGACAAAGGATTACAGGATGTAATCCTACAGAAATTCTGGTAAATCCTAAAGGAATTCTGGTAAATCCTAAAGGAATTATCTGATTCGTCCATGTTCAACCAGAAATTTTTTTCAGTGTACGAATACAATAAGACAAAAGAGGAGACAATAAGACAAATGGGAGACAAGAATTTTGCATAAATTGAATCATATAAGGGAATCCTGATTTAGACGAAGCGCAATACATTTCGCAATCTACGAACTAGATAGATTGCAAAAAATAGAATTGTTGAAAAAAAACCCAGTCAACCACCAATTTCAAATCTCCGAGACGCGACGAGAAGAGGAAAGAAATCGGGAAAGAATTGTACGCAAAAACTTGCTGGAAGCGATCAATAAGAAAAACTTAAAAATACCGTTAAAAAAATTGTAAATAAGAAAAGCTTCAAGATACCGTTAAAAAATAATTGAAATTAGTTTAAGCTAAGACTTAATGAGCGAGATTAAAAGATATTATACAATACATTTCGCAATTTAGGAAACAGTTAAGGATTGCTGAAAACGGTATCGTTAATTTTTGTTGAGAAAGACCAACAGCGAAATAGGTAGAATCCTTTCAGTATTCCGATACAAGGCTCGGAACACCGTGTATAGCGAATCGCGCCTATAGGAAAAATTTTACCACTTTCTAACATTGATTGTGATAGATTTAAGCGTAATGAAACACCGTTGATTATGTCATTCCCATTTCCATCATATCGATGCGATTCAGAACTGAGATGAATCTTTTCCTTTTGCTTTCTGCGTGAATTGCTGCGACGAGACTCGAAAATTCATCCTAAGAATAAAACATCTGCGGATAAAGTTGAGGAAATGGAATTCTATATCGGGAATCTCAGCATCAATTCATCTCAGCTCAAACTCGTACGCTTTCCTTGGCACGCTTTCACCGACGAAGCATCTATAATAACAGCCAATCGTGTAAATATGATGTCGATCTTCTTTTAACATTTATCCACGAATAATTGTAATTATTTACACAACATCTTTAACGTATTTACATCGCCAGCTACAGCTTTGCGCGACTGTATATTAAGAAAGAAGTAGCTTTGTACCGCTTGTCGCGCGTGCGCGCCTATAGACATCGATGCTTCGTTTTATAAATACGATACGTTTCCGACTTTCTCAACTAAATGCACGAATAACTCGCTCGGTTATTTTCGAGAATATTCCTGAATTCCTGTATCATAAAAAAAGATTTAGAGAGGACAAGTCTATTTAGCGTCGTCTATTAGAGACAACGATTTAAAAAGATTTTCTTATCGCTCCTCAAATTAATTTTTTATCTCATTCATTATCATGTTCTTGTCTATAAATAGTCGCACTGTCGTTTTTCAAATTACTCCATTAATATTGTCTTGTATCATTTTCTTCAAGGACAAATCATACATATACATATATTTGCCCTGTCAGCTAATTTGATAATAAATGTATATAAATAATATAAAATATATTTTTTTTTCAATATGTTTATGTTCATGGACAAACAATATTTGTAGGATATTAAAATCTTCTTAGAACGAATAAAACTATAAAGTCAAATGGATAAGATCGCGTAAGACACAAGTAACACCTGTAATTAAATTAGTGTTACTAATTGTAAGCATATCCCCTTTATTTTACGACTGTCTTTTTTTGCCAGCGATATGAGTCTCTCACGCGAGGAAATAGCCCTGAAAGAACTTGACGCGGACTTTGCAGAGCATTACGTATTACGTCTCTATATAACATTTGGCAATGAATAGAGTGCTAACAGTTCTTACGCTAATTAACTCTAAGCGTCACAGACAACATTACGTTACTTCTCCTTAATAACAACAGGGAGACTCAGGTAACAGTTTCAACAAGTTCTTGTTCCCGACGTATTATTCCGTTAAACAAAATTCCATTGATATTTTAATTCATATTTTTACATTATTCTTCGAGGGAGAAAATGTACTTGGAATAGATAAGTGTCTGTGAGTGTACAGTAAGATTACTAATAAATTGTGGTATAAAAATCGCACAAAATATATAAAAGATCAATCTTGGATATATATATATTTTTATATATGCAGAATTTTATTTATTGGAATAATACGAGAGACACACTAGTTCATATAACAGAAATCATGTAATAAGAGCTGTACAAGGATTCATGAAACTATAAGAATGCAGATAATACGAAATAGTAAAATCAGGAATTTGTATAAAATGAAAAATCTATAAGATTAAATTGAGAGGTAAATAAATTATATGAGTAATACGCAGATGAGCGAACGTAGAGATATCGCCAGTTTAAAAGTTCTCTGTCTAATTTTCCAAGATGTTTCTATCATTTTGATCATCTTTACTCTTTGGTTGAAATATACATTATAAAAAATCTATTATTCGTATCCTTATAATTAACTAAATGTTCCATTCACAATCGTAAACGACATTAGTCGCTATTTTTGCTAGAATTTTGTCTAATTATTTTAATTTATAATGTGTATTTTAATCAAAATGTACAGATGTACAGACTGAAGATAATAACTGTAAGTAAACAATCGAATCAGATAGAAAATGTTCAGAGAGATAATTTACGCTTGTTCACTCGCCCACGGTCATATACACTAATTTCTTCATTTAATTGTCAACTCCCAAGTCTCAATAATTTTGAACTAAGGCTCGAATTTTTGGGACTTAATATACATAGTAAAACGAATAAACATGAGGTGCTTCCAAAGATCATTAAAAACTAGCACTCCGCGTGTCGAACTAAAAATATTCAAGATCGAGAAGGCTAGAGTGTCTATAATACCTATCTATAAATACATATAAATCTGCGAAAATAGATCAAGGAGATTTACAATATGAGGTACAACGAAATTAGAGGCAACAACACCTATGTACGTTATCTACTGAACAGTAAAAGATCTATAATATGAGATATTTGCGAGAAACCTTTGTGAATCATGAATCGCACGGCGTAAAAATCTATTACGATCATCGTAAAATATAATGATCTACGGAATAAAGAAACTACCGGATATACGGAACCAAGAATCGTGTCCTTCCTTTACGAGCTACCGCCGCGATTCGAAAAACGAGCGGCAGCGCGCAAATCGTCAGAGTTTCTCGGTTGTTGCTGATTGATGAACGCTGGCAGATGCCGATGATGTAGGCGTGACGGATGGGCCCACGCTCGTTGATCGTTCCAACGGAAAGGATGTCTTGCCTAAGGGTGGCTGCGAGATCGCACGCTTCGCCGTCCTAAAAGAGCTGCCGATCAGCAATAGTCAGTAAACAGTCGTGAGCTTTCTTTTCGAGATAACCGAGGAACGTTTAACAAGCTCAATTCCTCTCATACACAGTAGAGAGATGAATTTTATCTCAGATTAATTTTCAGACGTCGGGGATAAGTAGAGGAGAGTTCCCTATTATGAGATAGCAGGGTTTCTGTTATAATAAATTAACAGGCATCATTTGGTTCCTCCATGAATTGCCCTCAGAGTGAAATCTGTTTAGTTGAAAATTTATTTGTTAGACATGCGTGTCATCGTTGCAAAAGAAGATTTATAAAATTGGATGTTGAAAACCCACTATCTCATATTGGGAATCTTCCTCAATACCTAGATAGATACATATATCTTTATTACGATTTCTTATATGGACATTGAATATTTTGTACTATGATAAATTATTATTCAATTATGTAAAAAAATGTACTGCCAATCTTCCGTCAGAGAGAACGAAAGAGAAACTGTGAATTTTACAACTTCGACATTGTACTGTTTGTGAGAAGAAAGGAGTTAAGCGTCCCAAAGTTATCTTGATGAATGATTTGTCGTCGTCGCATTTAACACACTGTCATTCCGAATTCGGCCCGACTGACAGCACGCAAAATACGATTACTGCGATGAATATAATATATTGTATTCTCAAAACTATCCGCACATCTAATTAATATGTGTATATCGATTGTGCGACAGAAATGAATTGTAAATCAATCCTGGAAACAGAAGCCTCTTTAATAACAAATTTTAAAGAATAAGTTTCATCTATTACATGAAAGCGATAAAAATAGCGTATGTACAATAATGGGTCGATAAGTATCGACTGATGCTAGTTGAAAAGCGATTGGATATTAGTTAAAAAATATACGAGTTAAGGT